ATGATGATGATGATGATGATGATGATGATGATGATGATGATGATGATGATGATGATAAAAGTAGCGAACAGGAGGAGGAAGAAGAGACAGAGAGTGGTGAAAGTGAGGAGGAGGACAGCGAAGAGGAAGAAGACAGCGAGGGGGAGGAAGAGGAGGAAGGCAAGGCAGGTGCTGAGCAGGATGCGAGGGGCGGGGGAAAGGTAGTATTAGTGGGCGATGGAGGAAGAAGAGCCGCCCTTGAGCGGCGCTTGGAAGGTCTCTCCTTAGGGGATGGGCCCAAGGAGACGGACGGAGGCCTGACTGAAGGACTCGCGTCCCTCTCCATGGACCCCAAGAGGCAGAGGCTAGAGATCGAGAGTGGGTCATCGACGCTTTCGCGGCTACTGAACGTGCCGATGGGCCCTGGCGGAGAGGAGGGAAGGGGGAGAGGGGGCGCATGCGCAGGGCAGAAGAGGGAAAAGCCATTAGTCGAGGAGCTCTGAGAGACCGCACGGACCTAGCACCGAGCACGGCAATAACATATAAAACGTAACGGATCATGTACTCATCGAACCTCCAAAATTTATCTATGCCTTGATTCACTATGTGATGTGCGACGGTGGGGAAGAGACCAGGTTGGCCATCTCACCTTTCTCGTTGTTACTTGCCTGCCTACACCCTACTCCTCCGCCCCCCCCCTCCTTGAGAGTGGAGAATTCCCAATTCAACAAGCGGACCGCGTCTCCCTCGTTGTTACCATTTCCACGCATGCACCGCAAAGCCCTCATACAAAGCTTCTACCCGCGGCACGCCGTTTTTCCCTTCTTTCCCTCCTTTCTGCTCTTCTAGCAAAGTTCTTCCGTCCTGGAAGCCTAAGAGCGCCCACACGGTACGGCGAGGGGCTACATCTATTCAGTACACAATCTACATACACGAACGCACCCACAACAAAGATCTTGCTCGTCGTTTTTGACCTGGACTGCTCGCTTATCTGGCACTGGAGCCCAAAAGCCTCTGAGAACGCCCCATACCCAGTAAGCTGACCACTCTCACACTCTCAAGTTCCCTAACCTTCACACCCGCCGCGAGTTCCGAGGACTTGACGCAACCGATGTCATCTTCCCACGCCCTGCAGCTCCTGCTGGGCGGGATCACGTTCCATTTCCTGAGCCCCTCCCCCCTCTACTGGGTTTTCGGGCTCCGCCCGGGGGGCCGCAGCCGTCGACGCAGCAGGTGCTTGCACGCTTGACGCCTCCTCCAGTGGCTCTCCTGGTTCCTCGGAGGAGTCCCAATCTCCAGACGTCGCTGGATCGTCCTTGCTGCCCGGGCCCACGCCCTCCTCCACCGCTGTGTCTGTCTTTTTCCCCCGTGTCGGGCCCCGCGACCGCTTCCGTATGCTCCCAAAGACGAGGTCAAACGCCTCGCGTTGCCGCCGCTTGCGCGCCTCTCCCGACACTTCTTTTCCGACTCCTGTCTCTGGCCCCGTCCTCCTTCCCAGGTCCTGCCCTGCTTCCGACGCTGCCGCGGCGGACGTAGCGCCCGACGTGCTCGTTATCCCGGAGCCGGCCAGAGCCTCGTTGTACTTGCGCTCTATCTGTCCGGCAAGCTCCATCACGCCCTTCTGGAACAAGCCCGTACGCCGCTCGGCCGCCAGGAATTCCCGGCGCGCCATCTCGCGTCTTCGGACGGCCATGGCCAGTTCCTGTCGCAGGGCCGCCTCCTCCTTGCTCTGGCTTTTCAATTGAGCGAGCAACGACGCCTCGCGCGCCTGAGCTTCCTGCCAGACCCTCCGCGATGGGGCCACCGCGGCCAAAGCCTCCTGAAGGTCCAGGCTGGTCTGTGAGAGCCGTTCTCGCACGCCGTCCGCCTCCTCTTGACTCGTCTTCAACAAGCCCTGCGCCCTTTCCCGCGCTTGCCTGGCCTTCTCCATCCGCGTTTGGGCCCGGCGCAGGACCTCCTCCGCCTCCGCCACCTCCGCGTCTGCGGTCAGGGCGAAGGCCTCCAAGCGCTTGTTGGCGGCCAGCACCCGCGTTTCTTCCGTCTTCAGCCTGCGTGCCGCTTGTCGACGCTCTGCTTCCTCTGCCACCCTCTCCTGGAAATCGGATAGGGCCCGCCTGCTCTCCTCCCGCAACCCTTGCATGGCAGCCGCCGAGGACTCACTCGCGCCCTCCACCGCCTCCAACCGGGCCTGGATGGCCCCTTCCCGGTCTACTGCCTCCGAGACCAAGCCGGCTGCCTCCTTGACCTGCGCGCGCGCGTCCTTCGCCTTGGCCGTCATCTCTTCCAGCTGCTGCGTCAAAGATCGGATCTCCTCCGCGCGCCACGAGGCTTGCACCTGCGTGAAGTACTGCGCCCGGTCTTGCGCCACCTGCCGCACGGCCTCCACAGCGGCCGCTGACTGCTGGAGCGTGCGTTTGAGGATCGGGGTGGCGAACTGCTTGATCACGGTCTGGTCGAGTCCCTCGAAGGCGGTTTTGATAAGGGGGAGTGCAACGTCCCGGGCTGGATGAGGGGGAAGAGTTTCGTCAAGCGTGAGATGGGAGTGTGCAGGGCATCACGAGGGCGACTCTCTTGACGACCAGCGCCTTCCTCTCCACTCCTTACCCAGTGGGACCGCCACGTCGCGGGTCAAGATCTCGCCGACGCTCACAGCCAAGTCGGCCACTTCAGCCAACTGCCGCCGTCGGTCGAACTCTGCGCGTCGGCGGGCATCGTACAGCGTTTCGTAAGCCTCCTTGATGGCCAAAAAATCTTGTGTGGTGTCCGCGCTGCGGCTTGAGTCCGGATGGGTAGTCTTGGCCCGCTCCCGGAAGGCGCGCTTGACCTCGGCGGGCGTGGCCCCCGGGGAGAGGCCGAGCACAGAATAGTAGTCTGTCTTGCTGGCGGAGAGACGAGAGATAAAGCGGGTGGTGTGTGGTTTGCATCCTTGGCTCGGACTGACGGTTGAAACTGGGACATGGGAGGGGGGAGAGGGGTGGTGGTGGAAGGCATCCAGGACGGAGGGGAGTAGGGAGAAGACGGCGAGGAGGAAAGAAAGGAAGAAGGGCACAACGGCTGGGCGAGTCGGCCAATGCGAAACGTCAGACGTGGTGGTGCCGGTCATTGATCTGTGGTCGTGATGATGAAACATGTGAGAGCGAGGAAGAATTGCTCTACGGCCCGACCACCGGGGCTTGCGTCGATGGTATGGGAATGGGAGCAGACCAGCGGCATATTGCGGCAGAGAAGACAAGCACCTAGCTTCACACTCAGATGCTTCTCTGCACTGCAACGATGATCAAGCCGTGCGGGCAAGGGGGGCTTTCAGGTCAACTACGTCGAAGCAGCTTTTAAAAGCGGTTATGCAGGCGGACTCGAATACGATCTTTCCTCGTATTAGAAGAACGTACCAGTTATGCCCGTCACGAGCGTCCGTGACAAGCGCCAGAACTGATACAATGCCGCCACCGAGCGTGGTGCTCTGTGAGTATCGAGGAAAGGGCAGGCTGTTAGAATGACCATGGAACAATCCATGATCTTGAGTCCGCCTAGGGGCGATGGCCTTCTCCCTCCTCCAGGAGGTGACGCTGAAAAGGCAATTAGACGAACGCATGCACTGCTAAATGAGCGCGTAAAGACGTGCGCTATGGTCAAGACAGAATTTATGCGCACAACCGTGGGAAAGCAGGGTTCCAATGGGTCGTTGGGCGGGGAAGTATACGGATGGGAGCTAGCGGGTTGTCTTTCTCTCGCAGGTAGCCAGCTCTAGTATCATGCACGTCGAGTGCCGCGAGAAAAGTGCGGTCGAGCCAGAGCGCTTTATAGTATTACTCAAGCTTATTACTCAAGATGGTTTCACGTGCCTATTCTTTACCCTAGATCAAGAGCGTTTGGCATCCATCCACGTGCTTTGATCAACTGGCCGGTGATGGCAGCGCAGGGCAGCAGGACAAGGAAACGAAGCAGAACATCGGGCTTGCCCCTATGTCTTCTAGCCACTCGACTACGGCTTTCAGGAGCCTGTAACCTCGCAGTATTTTTCTCCTTCTTTCTAAGCCTCAAACTTTCTTACGCATTCATGTCCATAGCGCCTAAGCTACCGCGTAGATCCCGGGCGGGCCTGCCTCTCGACCCGCATGCCGCGTTTTATTACCTTGTCCACTCACCCCCCTCCCCCTTTATCCCAAGTCCAATAATGTCCGCCATGAATTCTGGTTGGCGGAGTGGACCTCGTCCCAGTGATGAGCCTGTCGACTTGTCCGGAGACGGGGGTGTGTTAAAAACTGTGCTACGGCCCGGCTACGGGTACAACCAGCAAACTCCACCGCCTCATTCCTACTGCAAGGTAGCTTTTGTCATGAAAACATCCACGGGGCAGTTGATAGCAAACCGGATGAAGAAACCGATGGAATTTATGCTGGTAAGATCACTTAAAAAGCTCACTCAGGACAGGGCAAGGAACCTTACCGATGTGCCAGAAGTCTTTTCTGGGGCCATCAGACCAGCATGGCCGATGGATTGCGCTCACCCCACGATCGCCTCCCCTCTCCCCCTCCAATCCTCTCACAGGGCCTGGCAAACCCGGAAGTGATCCGCGGCTGGGAGATGGCCGTGGCGACCATGAAGCCCAACGAGGTTGCCGAGATCACGTGCAGTCCCGAGTATGCCTTCGGGTCGGCAGAGGGGTACCAAGACAAGATTCCCCCCGGCGCCATCATCGTCACGCGCTTGCAGCTCTTGAACTGGCGGACTCTCCAAGGAGCGGGCTCGACGGACGTGGAGGATACTCGGGATCTGACCAAGAAATGGCGCGAAGAGATCGACGAAGGCACGTCGCCCATGACCACCTGGGCCGCCCCCCCCACTGTCCGCAAAGATAGTATCGGAGAGGCAACAGCCGAGGTAAATAGAGAAAACGGTGGGGGTAGCGGACCTTTGGCAGAGGCCAAGGCAGCGATGGAGAAGGAGCAACGCGAGGAGGAGCAGCAGCAAGGGGAAGGCATTGATGGGTTCTCCCCGCCCTCGACCCCGCGCGTGGAGGCGATTCCTGAGGACGCCAACAAGGGCATGAAGGTAGACATAGATGACATGGCCATGAAAAATAAGCTCAATCCGAATCAGGTCGTGATAGGAACGGCACCGCAGTATAAGTGGAAGGAAAGGGCGGGCTACATGGAAGTGGTGGTACCAGTCCCCGAGGAGGTGAAGAAAGAAGATGTTTTAGTGCACCTGACCAATCGCGTCTTGACAGTGGGCTTCAAGACCCCGGAGAACAAGGAAAGCTGGATAATTGGCGGTGACCTCTTCGGGCCCATCGAGCTGGACTCCTCGTTTTGGGTGTTGAGCAAGGATTACACGGACGAGTTAACAGAGGGCAAAACGTGCGTCGAAGTGAGGCTGGAGAAAAAAGAGCCCATGCGCAGGATATGGAGCACAGTATTCAAAGACCAATGACAGAGCTTCGATGGTCTGCATCGTGACACATGAAACAAAAGTAAGCAATGCGCAGAGTTAGTGTGTGTGAACGAGAGCAATCCACGGCTGCAACCTCCCCTCTTGTTTTGTGGTTGTGTGTGCATCCTTTCTTTCTTCCGACTTTGCGGTGGTGCACATGCTCGCTTTGTTGGACATAAATCAAGAGCTGCACGTCTTATCCTAGCTGCTCCTATTATTGACATGTCGTGTCCCTACACTTTTGACGCTTATCTCCTTTTACTGCCGCTTGCAGGTCGCGGAGCCACCGATCGTTGTTGTCATGTCGCGCGAGGTGCAGGACTGGGGAGACTATGAAGATGATGAGGAGCTCCCCCAACCAGTCGAGGTGAGTGACCCGACAGCGTAGAGTCACGGTGTGAGGCGTTTCATCAATATCGTTGATGTGATGCCGTGTACAAGCTTCCACCCCGCAGATGTGAGCCTGTCGGCACACACACGTTCGCCAAGCCTCCTCCCCCCACCACGCTCACTCTCTGCCATCACAAATCCCTTTGCCACACAACGTCCTTTTATATAGGGAAAACCTGACGAAAATGGTGTAGTGACGCGGACAGAGTGGGCATGGAAAGACCAGCGGAAAGCTCGATATGTTCAGAAATTCAAAGTGGAAGAAATCACGACCCACGTTCCGAAACGAACATTCGTGCGCAAGACCTGGGCCCGATTTGGGGACGCCCGCGATGCTCATGTCCGAGCCGAGGAGCAAAGTATTGCGATTGAAGATCCTCACAGCCTGGCGGAAGATGAACCGGCCGCAGATTTGAAAAACTTGGGCTTAATCCAACAAAAGCTAGCAGCACGAAAAGCGGGTCTGCTGCCGTCGACAACCCCCGGAGAGTCTTTCGCCGAATACGATGGCGGTAGTGGGATTGGAGGAATGAATGGGGGAGAGGAAGGGGCTCCGCGCCGGACCATGGGCGAGCGATTTGGTGGTGGAGGGCCAGGGCCCCAGATGGGGCCGGGCGGGCGGGAAGAGGACAAGTTCCCAACGATCCGAGTGACAAACGTTTCGGAAGACACGACGGACGATGACTTGAAGAACCTCTTCGGCCGATTCGGCGTCTTGCATCGGGTGTTTTTGGCCAAGGACAAGGAGCGGAACACCTCGCGGGGGTTCGCCTTCGTCTCCTTTCTGAAGAAGGAGGACGCGCAGAAGGCGATGGACAGCCTGCAGGGGTATGGTTACGACCACCTGATCCTCCGCTTGGAGTGGGCGAACCCTCCGACGCAACGGCGGGAGGAGAGGGATGGGCTTGCCGGGGGGTTCGTGTCCGGCTACGGGCAGCGCTTGGCGCAGGACACGACCATGGCTTACTCGACGGCGTCGAACCTGACGCATGGGACGGAAAGATAACGCGGCGAGTCAGCGGGAGGTGAAGGGCTCTGGTGGGGGTGGGTAGAGGCCTGTGGGTGTCGCAGAGTGCGAGCATAGGCGCAGACGGCCCTACGACCGTGAACGCATAGAAGGGAGAAAGGAACTCATTTTTCAAGGCGGTGTCGGTGGAACATACGGGCAAAGGAGCTATCGGCGGTTCAGAAATCATTGTTTTGGGGCTGTTATAGTTGATGCCTCTCTTAGAGCGCATCACGGCGTGAGAGACAGGGCCAGTCAGCTCTTCTTGACCCATTCAGCAGGGCGATGAGGCCCTGTCTATCCGTATGCCTCCTTTTCCTTATTTTCTCCTACTTTCCCCCCCCTGTTCGTACTCACACCTCTCGCGGGCTCTGTATCTTCATCACTCACTTGCCGGCTGAAATGTGGGTCTTTCCTTCGTCCCCTCCCATATAATCATGGATGATGGATGAGGTAGGCCGGAGGGGGGTAGGCCTTCATTAGGGCGGTGTTGCCTGACCCTGTACCTTCGTCCACCCCATCCTCTGTCACCTTCAAGAGACTCTCTAACGCTATTTTGTCCTCTAAACTTCTCCTTCACTTGGGTAACAAGGCCTTGAAATGCGTTTTGTCTTGTACTGTCAGCTTCGGAAGCACCGTCGCCCAATCCACCTTCGGGCTCACAACCTTCGCCTTGCCTCCTTTCCCTTTCTCCACCAACCCGTTCTCATCAATCCACTCCAAGTTGTCCTCAAAGTTGGAGGACGCGCCCAGTTGGCTGGCCCCAAGAATGGCTTTTGCCTGTTGCGTGTACTCGTTCTGCAGGTCAGCTAGCTTCACCTGATTCCCGGCCTTTCCTCCCCCTCTCGTCGTGGTCATGTGCAGGAGAACCAGGAGAAGGAAGCGAGCGTGCTGGGGGAGCTTCCCAATGTCTTTCCCCACGTCTACATCCATTTCTTTGGAGGCGGCATTCGCTTCGGCGGCCGTGACCTGCCTCTCTGAGTCCCGCACCTCCATAGACTTGTCTCCGTTGTCCTTTTCGCCTTCCATCAAGCTGGCGGGGCACCACGCCTTTGCCTTCGCATCCAGCGTCCGCACATGGCGCTCCAAGGCCCGCCGACATGTGTCGACGGCCACGCGCGCATCCCCCCTGGAAGAAGTGACGCGCTTTGCGATCATGGCCAGAGCCGGGGCTTGAAAGGTGTCCCCGACGCAGACTTTCAGGATCTGCACGAGTTCCGCGTCCTGAAAGGGGCGGAATATGATGGGCTCGAGCTTCTCCTCACCGACGCCTGCTGCGAGTGCGCGGTCCTCGTCGTGACCCGCATAGTCTTTCCAGCAGGCCGGCGACCGGCCTGCCGTTGTCTTGGCTTTCGACCACAAGGCGCCCAGGGCCGTGTGGTCGTCAATCGTGTTGGAAACCGTCACCAGCAACGCCCGAGAGCCCGCGACCATGATCACGTTGCTGATCAGGCGGGCCACGCACCCGATCGTCTCCCTGTTCGTAGCGATGAATTGATCCAGCTCATCGAGCACCAACACCACCGTGCGACCCACCAGCTCGTTCGCCTTCACCACCGACGAGTCCAGTCTTCGGTCTCCGCTTGCTGCCTCCTGCTCCTCCGAGACCTTCCGTGTCGTCTCCACTGCCGCCTTAGTCGCCGCCCCCGCCCCCCCTCCTCGGAACCAGGAGGTCATCGACTTGATGAGCGGGCTGCTGAGGACGTCCGAAAGCGTGCCCCCGCTCCCTCGCCCGTTCATGTCCGGCCTTTTCACCCAACGTAAGCGTTCCTCCAGCTTAGCCCACAGCGCGTCTTCGGTCAGCGGCTCTCTTACGGCGCCAAGGCTCATGCGGCGCGAAGAGGCGGAAGCAAAGGAGCCTGTCCCGCCCGTCAGATGCAATTGAGCTGCTAAGGCTTCGAGGAAGCTCTTGGGGGCCGAGTAGGCGGCGCAGTTCAGGCGTACAAAGGTCGGTCTGGCGTTGACGCCCCGCGAGGCCAAGGCATGGGCCAGTAGGGCTTCTGAATGCTGCACCGCCAAGGTTTTCCCTGTCCCCGGGAGCCCTCCCACGCGGAGCCAGGCGCCCGTGGGTTCCAGCAGATACGCCATGTAGAAGTCGAGCAAACGCCGGCTTTCCACCTCCCGCACCGCAGACACGTGGCAGTCCCCCGAGCCTGCCTGACCCAGGCGGCTGCGAGCGACCTCCATCTCGGCGATGATAGGTTGGTAGGGACACGCCTCTGCGTGCGTCTGGAGCTCCTCAGAGCTGACCAAGCCTCCTTCGTCCCTGGCCCATAGCAAGGCATCCTTCTCGCTGTTGAACGGCCGCGTCGGGAGCCCCTCTTCCTGGGGAGGGATGAGCTCGTACATTGCATCGTTCGAGGAGGACGGGGCGGGGGGTCGCAGGGCGAGGGTCCATCGCTTGGCCTTCAAGACGCTGTAAGTGTACCGGTCCACCTCCATAGGCGTGAGGAAGGGCACGCTCGAGACGGCCGAAGCCAAGGCCCCCGCGGACTTCTCTAAGCATTTGCGCTTCGCTGTGCTTCGGGAGAGGCTGGGAGTCTGGTAGGAGAGGGAAGAGCCGGGTCCGTGCACGGATCCCGTCGACAGACGCCGCGCGCTCTCCTCATCTTCTGGCCGTCCTGGCCCCTGACAGACGTCCCCGCCCCCCGCAGGCGACGCGACCTCGGCGTCCGTATCCAAGGAAGGAAAACTGCTGGAGAAAAGGCGCCCAGCCCCTTTCGAATCGCCACGCAATGAATCGCGGGTATTGCCTCGGAGCCCGCCCCCCCCCACCCTATCACCAACA